ACATCAACATGTGTCCCCTCTTCTTCATGTCTCTTCTACATCAAGCCACAGTCTGGGAGCAAATTAATTTTATATGCTACACAAATACGGCCAGGATCCGTTGAATTTTCAGAATATTGGGTTGCAGATTAAAATGTTCCAAAGGGGGTTCGTTTAGCATGAAACACTTGAAATAACTAAAGGTTAAGTTAAAAAAGAAAGGAGAAAGCAATTGAGGTCAAAGAAAACTTTCTGCTAAAAAGTGAGCAATGATTGAGAGTCAGAGCTAAACATGTCAGATGTGTGTATCTCACACTGCACTGTTACTTTAATTCATGTACCTTTGTTATTCAAGTTGTATTGTCTTTGCTTTTAAATTAGTGTTTTTAAATGCCATTTTATAATATGTTTCTTAATTCTCTTAATGTCTTTCATTTTTGTAAAACACTTTGAATTGCCTCTTGTTGAAAGGCGCTTTATAAATAAACTTGCCTTGGCTTCAATATCTAATTAAGGTTTGTTTGATTTCTGTGATGATCCTATGTCTTGTATCGGAAGATTTTTACCCTGTTCTGGCGAAGTTTGTCCAGTAGGCGATCATGTAGCCAGAGAGGTCCCGTTGGCTGGCTGAATACAGCGATGGTGCCGTAAAAGGCTTTCCGAACACGTAAGGCACATCGTCCATATGGTTGGCTCCCATCCAGCTAGCCAAGGGTTTGATAATGCCTGTCCTCTGGTTGGGCTCATTGAAAAGGTAGGAGTAGGTACGGCCAGTTCTTTGGTGAGAAAAGGGATATGACAATTTAGTTCACAACGAAGAAGAATGTGATTTTTCAAAATGTGTGCATCGAAAAATGGCATTAGATGAGGTGCTATGGACAGTTTTGCACTAATGCACATTTCTCAAAGTTAACATGTGTCCCCTCTTCTTCATGTCTCTTCTACATCAACATGTGTCCCCTCTTCTTCATGTCTCTTCTACATCAACATGTGTCCCCTCTGTGTAACGAGATTCTGAAAGTTTCAGGAACAAAGATTCTCTCTCTTTTTGATCCATTTATTTAAAAACCTGTCTGAAAATGAACTGATCAGATTTTGGCCACTTTATGATGTCATAACGATGTTTTGGCTTGTGTAACCATTAGCCAATCAGCAACCAAGGTAAGAAAAAACAGTATAATAGGGGACCTTTAAATTCTAAAGCATGGTGTGGAACAAAATGGCTTGTAGATAAACTGGAGGCATCTGTATAGCAAGATGTTATAATCACTTTGCGTTGTCAGCATGACGGTGTAGTGCAGCCTGAGTAGAAGCCAGGAAGAGGAAGTCTGTTTCAATGTCCACGAGGGTTTTCTTGATGCTCTCTTGGCTGGGCGTTGGTTCCCAGGTTGAGTTATATAGTGAAAGTGCAGCCTGCAAACCAGCGTCGCTCTTATCCTTAGTGAACGCAGCCAGAAGCGTCTCCACCTCCTCGCTGCAATAAAGAAAGGTTTGAAAATAAGTTAAAATAAAACACAACTAACCAAAGTTGCTCAGGGTAGATCCATTGCAGAATTGGGTAATATTAAGG